CCCCCCCGGCCTGTGAGCTGGTGCAGCTGAGGGCCTTGCTCCTGAGCATCACAGTTTGTTTCCTGAACGTGAAACCGGAGGCGGGAGGAAGGTTATGTGACAAAGGGTCATTGCTCCACGTTAATATCTGTGTTTCTCTTTCTGCCCCATCCTTTTCTCTCCCTCTGTGGCTCCGAAAAGTCTATGGCAGTTTGTGGCTGGGAAACATGGAGTGCTCGGTGTGTCACTTTGTTTCCGGGGATGATTCTCCCAATTTTTGCAGCAAGTGTGGGGCCCAGCTGGCTCCCGTCGGCGACACTGAGGACCAGGACTCAGGTAGGAGGATGCAGTGCGGGGTGAGCTGGGGGACGCCGTGCAGGGGCTGGCCGAGGTGTCCTCTGGTTCCTGGGTGCCCATGCAGCTCTGGGCTGCTGGGCTCTGGCCAGGTCATCACACACCGCTTTTCTCTCTCACGTCCCTCACATAACTGCCCAGAGATGGAGTTTTCCTCGCTTTGCAGTGACTGGTGGGGGATGGAGAGAAGAGAATCAGTCACTGCCACCTCCTACGCGCATTCTCCCCACTCGCATCTCCAGCGCTGACCTGGTTTCTGTTTTGCCGGTGCTGTTTTTATGGAACGCTGTATTACAAAGATCGGCCTCATCCCTCTTGAAGGACGAGAATTGAGCCAGAGATTCCTAGTTTCACCTTACCGTTAGGTGTAGAGTTCACTGCCTGGATTTCTGTTGACCACACGCTAGTTCTGCCTCTACGAACAGTAGCAGAATCAAGTACACGGTTAATGCCGTTATGTAGGGGGGAACTACTTCCTAATCCTGTATTTGCTTAAGGAGAGAATGATCTGGGCCACCAGAGTTGCTTTTGGTTTGTTGATATGGAGAAGTAGGACCCTACAGGAATACACTAAATCGGACTCAACCTGCTGTAGTCCTGGCAAGGTCAGTTCTTAGCAAATCCCTCTGCAATCCAGCATGGCAAGGTAACAAACCCAGCATCCCCAGCTCTTAAATGCTGTCGGGAAAACATCCAAAGCCTTTGTTCTGCTGGTCTGAAAGCTTTGTCACTGCTTCTAGCAGTGATTAAAGGTGGTGGAAGGGGGTGTAGTGCTTTAGCAGGTGAATGTGCTCTCTGTCTGGGGAACCAGGGAGTTCCACCAAGTAAATGTGTGCAGGCCAAGCCCTGTCAGCAGAGTCACTGAGGAGCAGGAAAAGCAATACTCAAAGGGGCTGTGAGCTACATTCACTGTGAGGTTTTTGCTCCTGCTCCCAAAAATACCTGGAGGAAATCAGTGCCTCTTGGTGTTGGTTGATCTCCGCTCGAAGAGGTTGAAAGCTTTTGCTCTCAAAACTGGGGTAGAGGCAGTGCTGAAGAGCTGTGGGATGGGTCTGCAGGAGACAGGGCTGCTCGGATGCCTGCCTGGGATCTCAGCTGCCTTTTCACAGGTTGTAAGGACTGGGTAAAACTGTTGAAAATCAGGAGTCTCCCATGCCTTCCTATGCATAACAGCTGTGTGGTGGTGCTGGTTTTGGCTGGGGCAGAGTTAAGTTTCTCACAGTAGCTGGAATGGGGCTGTGTTTTGGATTTCTGCTGGAAACAGTGCTGATGTTTCCGGGATGTTTTTGTTATCGCCAAGCGCTGCTTGCACAGCACCAAGGCCATTTCTGCCCCTCACGCCGCCCCGCCAGCGAGCAGGCTGGGGGTGCACAGAAAATTTGAAGGAGGCACAGCCAGGACAGTCCTTTTTGAGGCCCAATGTGGGGCTCAAAGGGTTTAAGATAATACCAGATTGGCCAGAGCATATTTGAAGGCATTTATATCTGTTAACAGTTGCAGGTCACGATATTGATTCATCTGCTCTTGATATTGCTTCATCTGATCTGCACCGTGCCCTTTTCCTTGCTGCACATGTTAAAGATTGATGTTGGCTTCTGCAGTTTGCTGTGCTCTGTAGTGATTAGCGATGTTTTTCGGGGAGGTTTGTTAGTAGCACACTGATCTTGAGCTTAATCTGGTATTTGGGCTCTGTACTGAAGCCCTGACTGTGCTCCATGTACCATCTCATGGAGACAATTAACCATTATTCTTCTGAGAGGTTTTTTGTGGAGGGAAACAGCGCCTTTGCTACCTCCTTCTGTGGCGTCTTCACCCTTATTACAATAACTTCTCAGTATCTTAAACGTCCTTGGGTAGTTAAAATACTTCTATTGCTATTTCGTAGGAAAATTGCTTTGGTTTTGCCTGAGGTTAACAAGCAATTTAGGAATATGACCCAGGCTCCGTGTGTGTCACCCCTATAATTACAAACAAACAAGGGAAGCAGAGGTCAGCTCATTCAGTAAAGGGATGAAGAAGCTTCTCCTAAGAGGGAGCAGGGAGGCAGCCTGTTCTGCTGCGGAGAACAGAAGGAAGACGACCTGAAAGCATAAATGAGACAGAAACCACCCATCCCTGTCCCTAGTGAGCTGTGAGACAGGTGAAAAGATTTTAGCCATCAGCCAGGTGAGCTGGTTCTCAGCTCATTGCTCCAGTGCTGGGATATTGGGGGCAGTAACCCTAACCCTAATTCCTAACCCTAATTTTTTAGCCAGAAGTCAGGAAGAGGAGGGTGAGGAAGCTGGGATCCCTTGCTCAGGATGAGGCCGTTGGCAAAGGGATTAGAAAAAAGGAAGGAGTCCTCAGTCTGTGCCTCCCGTCAAGTGTGACGGAGCTGGAGGTAGGGTGGGGGTAGATCAGTGCCTCAGTACCCTGGTTTCTTGTCTTCATTGTTCTGCTCCTGCCTGCAGGGGCATTGGAGAGGGAAGGAGGCTGTGGTGGGGCGGTTGGTGTCATTGCTGGTGGCAGCAGTTGCACAGGGAACAACAGAGCAGTCCCTGTGTGTTGATCGATAGGTGCAGAGTCAGCAGCCGACCCTGCTCGCTCACCAGCGGCTGAGAACTGTTCTTTTTCCTGCTTAACAGTGAACCTTGGCTCCTTTGCAGAGAGAAGAGAGGCGAAGCTCGCTCCAGTCCCAGAGCCTGGAGGAGAGGTGAAGGGAGGAGGTGCCAACGAGCCTTCTTCCACCACCAAAACACAGGAGGAGGAGGATGGAGAGCTGATGGAGAGCGCAAGAGCTCTGAGCAGTACCTCAGAGCCCACACCTGAGTGCACTGCAGCTGGCCCTGCTTCCTTTACTGAAGTGCAAGAGGAGGAGGAAGAGGGCTCACCGCTGGTGGAGTATGTAACAGCTCCAAGTGACAGCTCGGACGCCGCATTTCAGTGCGCGGCCAGCGGCTCGGCGAAGTCACGGAAGAGGGTGAGGCTCTTTGCTGGCGCTGAGGAGCAGTCGCTGGGAACTTGCTGCTCCCCTTTGTAACGTAGTGAGGCTGGGCTGCATCTGGATGCTGCTGCCTGCGTTCCCAGGCAAACTGGGGATGTATTTGCTTACGTTGAGTGTTGTGTACGCAGACGGCTGATGTGCTGAGCGGTACAGAGTCCCCTAAGTGCCTTTGCTTCACTGGGGCAAGCAGTACAGGATTCAGCTTAGTATTGGGTCTGATGTTAATGGGCATCATGCTCAGT